CATTCTGGCGTCTAGCTGGGAGCTCTAGAAATACTGATACTGGTCACGGTCTGGAGAACCCGACTTAGTGGGTTGCAAAGGTAGCCTGGGTAAGGAATGTGGGTAAGGAATGTGCTGTGCTATGCTGTGCCTGGGGATGGGGTGGTGCTGAGCTGTATAGATTCTGCCCTCCTGCAGGCAGTTTGTGCTCCCCTGACAGATATATGAACTATCTCCAACTATCAAAACGCTTGCCGTCAGAGAAATCTAATATTTTAGATTATGTCTTAGTTCTTTTCTCATCACTGAGACATAATACCAGACATTTCAGTCCACAGTTGACTGGCTCCAAGGCAGAGAAAAATGGCAGAGGGGCATGGCAGAGGAGAAACAGCTCATGGTATGGCAGGCAGGAAGCAGACAGAGATCAAGGGAGGAGGGAGGGAGACACACCCAAGGGAAATATACCTGTGTCACGCCCATAGGGACCCAGGGTTCATCTCCCAACGTCACATTCAGCTGTGCTCACCAGTGCACTAATCCACAGATGAGCACCACACCCCCACGATCCAACCACCAACCCAAAGCTCCACTAATGAGGCTTTGGGACGTCTGTACATAAACCATAACAGATTACTTGAACTTATCACTTCATTCCAAGACATTCTATACTTTTGTGATGTGCCTGCCTTTACGTAGTAAGCTTCTTCCAAGTAACTGATTTCTTACTGAGTTCTAGGCTAATGGATGGCTCACTAAAATTTTGCCAAACCTGTTGCGTATATATATATATTTGCATATATGCATTCCAGTATTGACTGATAGTGTTTATTGGTTTTCCTCTAAACGCTACTATAATACAAGGAAACAAACTTTTAAGTGGACAAAGAGAACTGGATAAGTGGTGATAAAGGTGAAAGATATTAGTAGATTTTAGAGCCTGGTAAGCAAGAGAGCTAGCAGCAACAGGACGGGGAAGTGTTTACAGGAGGACGCACCAACTTTACCCAATTTGATTTGCTTCAAAGCACCCCAGAGAGGCCAGTGAGCCCATGAGGCTGGAAGAAGGAGCTGCAGGGTCCCTGCAGGGAGACTGAAGGAAAGTTTGTATGAGGAGTGACGTCCCATAACCTTACTGGGTGTGGTAAAACAATCTGGGTACCTTGCCCTAAATGCAAGGTGAGCGTCAGCAATTGCAAAACTCTATCCAGTATAAAGTAGGGGCACCATAACACCCTGTGACTTAAAGACTGAATTTGGGACACACCCTCACGTGCAGAAGCCTGATGACTGCAACGCACATGGTGCCTTTGCAGTTGAGTAATTTGTCCAGCTCTAGTCAAGAAGTTATTTTTATATAACCTTTAGCAGCTGCATATGCTGCTTTGCAAAGGTTTAAGACTGCAGTCTCTTCTTTCTCTCTCCCACCCTTTCTCACTTTCTCCGATTCTCCCCCCTCCACCTTCTCCCTCCTTCCTTCCCTCGATTCCTCCTTCTGTTTTCCTCCTTCAGTGCTGGGCACCAAAGCCAAAGCCCTACATATGCTAGAAAAGAACTTCACCATTGAGCCACATTCCCTGGTCTGCAAATTTTGTTATTAAATCTACGCTTTTTTCCTCTCATGATATAACATTGTGTATAACTCGCTTGATCCACTAAATACTTCAAAGGCATCAACTGTTTCTATAGCTTAACATTTCCAAATTACACATTGCAAACAAGTCCCTCCCTGCTGAAACTAGGAACATTCCTGGAATAGGAGCTCTGATTAGTCTTGATTGGTCTCTGCGTACATAGCTAAACAGATCCACTTCCTTAAAGTGTACATCTCATTTTGTTTGTGTATCTCATTTTGCTTGCATGTAAAATGGGGACCAAAGTGTCAGACTCTGAACTGTCCTAATAAAGGACCACAGTGTGCAAAACTTGTCTCTTTTCTTAACATGCATAAGCACAGATGATCACTGTCTGTGAGGGATCATATTTGATATTGTTGATCTCTTCCCAACATGTTAGTGAGGATAGAAGGTTCACAGTGAGTGTGTTGGCTTTATCAGATGAGATTCAGTACTTTACACATATTTGGGTCATGCCCGTGCTTACTGCTAACTGAGTGTCATATGTTTGTTCTGCCTTCACCTTCCACACAGCTGCTCACATATTCAAGAAAAGAGGTTTGTGACTGTATGATAATGCTTATTATGCTTTCTCTGCTCAGTATAAGTTCTAGGATCTGTGTCAACCAGCACCTTTGTGTCATTTCCATAATCAGCCAAGTTAATAGAGGGAAGGGCTTCTTCTTAATCTTGACCTGCCAAATACCTCTGGTTATCCATTGATACTTATTTGATAACTTTTCCAAGAAGGAAATGTCTTTAAAAATTATTAATGTATAGATGCTAAGGTGACAGAATTAGAAATCTTATGTAGGAAACAGAATATGTACTTATGACACACCAATGTTTTAGGGTTTATTTTAAAATGAGTTTCTCTGCAATGAACTACAGTGCAACTGCATCTCACAAGAAAAAACACAAACACATTATGCAACTGTACTAAATTAAGTAAAACCGAATGAACACTTTTACATATCAGAAGCGGTCAAAACAAACAATATAGTTTACACAAAGACTGCAAGAATTCAATACAGAATTAAAGCCTTTTCAATATAATGATGCAAATAAACTTTACTTTTGCATGGTTTCTTTACATATTTATTCTACCTATTACTGAGGACACAAGGAGTTGAAGACTATCTAGTCTGGCCTCTTACGTGCACATATGAGGGATAACAATGGAGCAATATTACAATAGCTTATCCAGTGATGTAGGAAACCATCCTATTTAGTCCCACATGCATGCTAACTTATCAGTCCATTCCTCACTCTGGGTAACACAATGATGTCAGTGCCTGTGTTTGGTTTTTCCAACAGTCATCCCCATAGATTCCAAGACAGCTTCAGGTTCATCAGTGGTACAGATGATGCGGTGGACAGACAGATCGCTTGAGTCTTCCTCGAATCTGTGACCAGTTACTGAGTCCATGAAGACAGGCAAAGTTCTGCATCGAGATGCTCACATCTGGCTGTGTTTGTGTGTATTTACTTCACCCTTCGTCTATCATCTTGGATAATTTACAAGTTACCCTTAAGTTTGAAGCTTTAACTTTGAAAACTTACACAGCGTTCATAAACAAAGACTGAGTTTTAAGGAAGATCTGTAAAACTTTGCTTTGAATAATTTACCACCATTTGCACCCAAGGCAGAAAGTTTCTAAATTAACCCCTTCTAAACCAATAGCTGTGAATTATCTCCATGTTCCTAATAATTCTGAGAGCTAGGGAACCAGTTCTCATTCACCAACGTCAGAGGGAAGGCTTATGCTTCCCCACGCCAAGGGAGGATATTTCTCTTCCACATATTCTTTAAAGGAATTGTGAACCTAAGTAATTGAAACACTGATTTAAAATGTCAAGCTAGGTTAAAAAAAAATTACTCTTTCTTACACATAACACATGAACCTTACCGTACGAAACATTTTTAGAAGTTTTCATCCCTCTTTAGAATTCATACTGAATAACAATACCTTTCAGAGCACTGCAATCAATGATCAGAGTGTAGGTAATTCTGGCCTTATGTCTGAGGTGTAAATCACAGACAACTGGTCAACCCCAACTGCCAATCCTTTCTTAACCCAATTTTGTCTCCCACAGTAGAGATAAAATAAAAGTAGGTACTGGCTGCTCTCCCTGATGAGCTCAGAACAAGGTATTTACAGACTGCCCAAACCACGACCAGGGTCTGTCATGGGGCCTAAGGAATAAAGGTGGAAAGGTGTCAGCCGAGGAAATTTGGGAGTCCTCAGTCACCTCAGCTTCCTGGCTCTCCCTAAGGCAGTGTCTGAGAAGCACAGGATACAAGGAAAGCAGACAGGAGAGTAGATGCAATTCTTATTTCTTTACATCTTCAAAAGCATTCGTGTGACTAGGACAAGGGTATGATGTATGCAGTTTGCAGTCCTGAAAAACAGTACTCACACAAACAATTGCTGCAAAGCACTGTCCCAGCACTGTGAGAGTTGACTGGGGCTACAGGGAACCTAGGGCCTGACTCTACAGGAAGCAGAGATGACTACTGAGAAAACAGCCATTCGATGGTGAGCTCCCCAGCCAAGACCCGGCTCCAGACCCTTAGCTGAGCCCCCAGCTCCTGAAGGGGGCCCCCGGAATCTCCCGCCAAGGCCAGGACTCCTGGCCCCAGGCTCTTCCTGAGTTCGCAGGCCAGGTTGCAGAAGTGACAGTGAAGAAGCAGTTTCGCAGCTAAGATCAGGGGCTGGAAGGGCAAAAGGCAAAGCTGAAGACGTTGGGACGGGAGTGGAGTTATTTAGACCCACAACACACGCGGACACACACCCCGCCACGCACCCAGAGTTGCTCCCTTGACCTCACTGGAAGGTCAAGGGCTGTGCCCAACCTCCTCCCGATTCCTGGCTCCCGGCTCCTGGCTCTTTCCGACCTGGGCGAGTAAGGTCCCCTCACAGTGAGACAGGGGGCACTTTGGGGTGAGATCTGGGGTGGCCAGGGAACCTTGGAGCGGGGAGCGCGGGCTGTGTGGGCTTGTCCCTCTTCCCGGGTAGTTGGCACACACGGAGGAGGACAACAGGCCAGGCCAGGACCTTCCCCAGCTTGTGCCAACTCAGTCACTGCCAAAAGTGAAGTGCAGAAGCCAGCACATCCTGGGCTGCTCTCCTTGACGTCGCGGTGCGCTGGCCACCCGCCCTGGCCTGGAGAGTTTCCGGGCCAGCGATCCTGCTTTCTTCTACTTAACTCGGTCCTGTGCCAAGATCAGGGCTGGACCCTTGCCCTTCTTTGGGGAGCGCTCAGCGTGACTGACGCGGGAGGTGCAGTGCTCCTCACACCAGACGGCGGGGGTGACGGCGGGGCTGCGCAGAGCAACAGCGGGCGCAACTGCAGCCTCGCGGCTCAGGAGGGCTGGGCTGGGGCCTGAGCGTGTGCGCCCCTCGCATGCACCCCGGACGCGAGGCCGCCTGTGGGTACCACTCTCGGGCGCCTCCCATGCGCGGCGCGGAGGGCAGGGCCGGCGGAGCGGCGGCGGGGTGGCGCTCAGGCCTCGGAGCGGCAGCCCATCAGCTGGCGGAGGCTCTTGCGGAAGCTGTCGTCCAGGAAGGCGTAGAGGAAGGGGTTGAGGCAGCTGTTGGCGTAGCTGAGGCTGGTGATGAGGTAGGAGAGGCCGACGACGAGCGGCGTCTGCGGGAGGTCGGTGGTGAGCGCCACCACAGTGCTCAGGTGGTAGGGCGTCCAGCAGAGCAGGCACACGGCCAGGATGGCCGCCACCAGCAGGGTCACGCGCTTCTTGGCGCGGCCCAGCACCCGCGCGTGGCCGTCCAGCCGGATGGCGCGCAGGCGGCACAGCAGCGTGCCGTAGAGCGCGCAGATGGCCGACACGGGCAGCGCGAAGCCCAGCACCAGCGAGTAGAGGCGGCTGGCGCGCCACCACACGGCCTCGGGCTGCGGGAAGAGCAGCACGCACTGGCGCCGGCCGTGCGCCTCGTCCAGCCCCGCGAACACGGCGAAGGGCAGCACCACCAGCGTGCCGAGCGCCCACACGGCCAGGCTCACGGCGCGCGCGGC